TGAGGCCACCCTATCCCAGCCATATTATTCACATATCGAGTCCCAACAGCAACAGTGTAGGGATGAGCACGAAATACTGTAAATTAAATGCTGAATGGCGGTTCATGCAGGGAAAGAACATATCAATATTCGTATATTCATTCAAAAACATGAAAATTCTTAATGGAGTACCCTCATTTTTTATTGAATTCCTAAAAAATAATATTTATAATGAATTTTAATAATTTTTTCAAATTTTTTTTAAGTTTTATTTTGACCGATTCACCCGATTCTCGATCCGAATGGCAGATTCTCCGATCCGGATCCATTTTTTGGAAGCCCGATCTGGGTCACCGATCCGTTTTTTAAACCATTGGGTAATAGGTACACAATGTACGTTTAATTAAGTTGATCTGATCAAAACTACCGACAAGGGCGCTTTCCCGAGCGAGTACTTGTACAGTGTGCCCCCGCGGCCGATCTCAACCAGAGTGAAAGACGAGAAACAAGAAACCAGGCTTCATTGATGATGCAGAACATGGGTCTCAAGGCACGATTTCTCAACTCATTAGATCCCCAAATGGTGTTTCAGTTCATAGCCACCGTCCATTTCGAGATAGACAATCACTTGGGTTAACGACAATCGCTGAGGTAGTCATGCATCTGAGAAATGATATTATCATTCGTTTCCAAAATTTTCCTGTGACTTTTCACTTTTTAGATTGGAAAGTTAAAACTTCTTCTGCTTTGAAAAATCTTATTGTATATATGTTATGTTTCTCTGTTGAAATTCAGTAATTAAAAAAAAAAAGGCGGGTTGTTAACTTGTACAGGTTTCCTGAAAGGCAATGAGTTTGAAGATTAGACTGTGAATCTTGCTTGTGAGTTTCTGCCCTTTGCATTGTTTCTTTCATCAATGGGGCATTAATGGCTGTTTATGATTTTTTAAACCCTGAAAGATTAAATGTTATTTCTCTTTCTTGTATCAATCTTAGCTTTTGTTATTTTTCTCTTGTTCGTTCATGATTGTTATTTGATTTTATTTTTATTAATTGATCTGAATTTTTGTTATTTTACCCTGTATATGTGATTTGTTCTGCGAAGAACCCATGTCCAATGGATAGTGAAGTTACCCGTTCTAATTCTTTAAGAACAGTTCGTAGAATCGAGAGAGGTTCTGAAAGCCAAAAGATAAGAGGTAACTGCAAGTAACAAGTGTTGGATCTTTTATTTTCTGTTCTTTTAGCTCTTCATTCTAAAGATAACCTTGATTACCATGGTGCATACAGATGCCGACTATAGTCCAGCTTTTTCTCAGAGATCATCTCAAGATTCTCCCTTGAAGTTTGTTTCGAGGAGGAGCTTTCTGCGTTTTAGTCTTGTAGTCTTGATTCTCATTTCTCTGTTAATTATAATATGGTCATGCCAAGCAGCTGTATTTGTTTCTTCAGGTATGTTCAGGAACATTTCTTGAAGATACTTGTACTATAAATAGCTTTACCTGCCCTTTAAACTTCTGATCTTGATGTGGAGCATGGATGCGTTGGTTTTTGTTGTTACAAATTCGACCTTAGAACTCCTGTCGTTGACCATAATGTGTCGGAACGATGAGTGGTACCGTGGTGCTTGAATCATATCAAGGCTGGCTGCTGTATAAGCCTGAAAGAGATCGACCTGAATGAAACAATAGGTGCATGCTTTCTCAATCTGCTCAACTACACCTACCTATAGATTTAACAGATTGCTTCACAGACGCTTTACTTGATGCACCTAGTAAATGTTAAACTTATATGTGACGTTTCGACACCTCTAGATACTCGTTATTGACTCATTTGTAGTTCATCACATTTTCTATTGAAGAAACTAATTCACAATTTTGGGCATACCAAGGAATCTAAGTATTTAGGCTACTGTGACATTTTGGATTGTTGTTGTTATTGTACGATTGGTTTAAAATAAAGGGTTCTGAAAAGGATTCTGGTCTTTGTGCATGGGTACGGGGAGGTTTCCTGTCCCCTTTGGGATGACCATCACTTCTGTCACCTCATGTTGAAGCATGGAAGCTTTTGCACCACTGAGGTGGTTATGATCTGTTTTTGTAGAGATGGAACTTCGTGAAGAACATGAAATGCATAAATGATCAACTAAAAGATTTTTCTCTTCGGCCCTCTCTTTGTGATTCTCTGGGCCCTTGGCCTCAGAGGTTCCTTTGGCTATAGAGTTGAGGACTTGGCCAGTGAATCAAAGGAAGTTACTTCGAGATTCCCTCTTCATCCCAAAGAAATCATGCAGGGGAAGCCACACAAGGCTTTCTTAAAAGTTAAAAGTAAATTTTAATAAATTTTGGGGCCGGGACTTGTGTCAGAATACTCTTGGCAATGTCCAAAGAGATTCATTAGAATTTTTGACAATGATAAAAAAAAATGCACGTACTAGATCTGTTATTATTTGGTTCCTCTTGGAGGCTAAGGCTAGAACTCTTCTATTCTCTGCTTCTTTGAGGGGTCCTTTGTTGTGGAAGGGAAATGAAGTGAATTGATTTTGTTCTTTGAGGGATCCTTGATTGTAGAAGGGAAGAGGGTTGATTTAACCATGAGATGGGCCACATAATGATTTCTCTTGTTTTTTATGTTATCTCCTCTAGTTGTATTTGTATAGGACATGATATAACCTTGAACATCTTTACATTGAATTACAATAATATAAGATAAAGATGTCCTTTGGTTAGCGTGAGTTTTTATTTTTCCATTATGTTTGTTGTGCTTGCCTAAAACCCCCTTTTTTTTTTTTATAATGAAAGAAAATGTGTAAGAAAATAGTTCTTGACTCTTCTTCTCTAAATATGAAGGTCATTGTAGAAGGGACAGCAAGATGTTTGGTTTACTGGACACTATGGGGCTTCTGCCAAAACCAATGCACCGTAAGATTATATAGGAATTCAAATTCTTTTTATTTTGTTAAAAAAGTATGTTCTTTTTCTTTGAGGTCTGTCCCATAAAATGGGTGGTTTGTGTATCAAATTTATTTTGTTATGGATTTAGGTTGTCCAATTCCCCTCGCCAATGACCCAGAAGCTATAGTCATTCCAAAACACAGTACCCCTAAGACATTGCCTCAGAAACTCTCTTACATTTTGGAGGATGAGTCTTTTAATGGTGATCCTTTGTTTGGTGGACGTCAAACTTGGGAGGAAAGAGATGAGAGTTTCAAGTTAAATACAACTATGAGGGTAAGCAAGGTCACCTTTGAAAGGTAGTTGGATATTTCTTTGATATGCATATTCATTTGTGTAGTTGTAAGTCAGTTTAAGTGTTTGAGGGCTTCGTGTATGGCTCTTTCTCGCATATGTTTGAGCTGTTCAGTAGACAACAACTTTGCAATTTTAGGTTTTTATTCATAGTTAGCAGCATGGCTTGCCTGCTATTAAATTCACTGTAGTATATAGTATTAAATTTTGGGTCGTCTTTGTAATGTTTCTCATGCAAGCATTTGCCAACATGGTTCATCTATTACATAGATTTGCCCCTCTATCTTGGATGCTCTCATTGTTTCTGTATGGATTCTGTATGGAGCCCATTATTTTATCTTTTGCGGATAGGTCAGGTTGGGCACACATGAGGAATAAACTGTGGTTGGGAACCACTGCTGCAGCTGTACATTCCTGTGGCTGATCAAAACCCCATAGGGACAAACAGGTAGTATTGGTGCACACATAAAAAGTGGTTGTATCATTTGTTATTTTCTCTTAGGTGCATAATTTGGGATTTGAACTGCTTTTAATCGTTGTTTACTTTGCAAGTTGGCTTGGAATTGCCTGATTGTACTCAACTTTAAAACTATTTGGCCACTGAATTAGAGAATGAGATGGTTCTTAAAGTTGAGTCTCTTATGAGACTCGAGCAGGTTCATTGAATTGCCCAAGTCTCTCCAAGAGATTGTAATGTGTCTTAACTGTCCTCCAGTTAATTAATTTATTTGAAATGTATATTTACCTACTTGCTCCTGCATCGTTCAATGAATTGATACCAAGAGTTCCATTGAAATGGAACCCCATGACTCAACTCGACAAACTGATAAAATATAGGACCAAATATAGTGATTTAGTGAAATATGATGTAGTATGTAGTAGTTTCATACCATACTCTATAATGCATGAATATTTGTAAATAAAAGTTGACATAATTATAAAATAAACTCTGTAACATATGGAGTAAGGTCCTATGAGTCAACACAACACAAGGCCATTGGAGGTAGATGATTTTTTGGACCTCAAATTTTGTGCTTATACTCCTCATGTCCAAGCAATCAAACACACAAAAAAAGGAAATTTTTTATGCTAAAAGATTTTGTGCTCCTGTGGGAGCATACTGTCTATTTACCCCCTTGGGTAAAACCCAATCTAAAAGAATTTTAAGGACCCCAAAAGTTTTGGGATGCAACCTCTTCAACCCATAGACTTACCTCAATGAAATTTTTTCCAAGCTGCACTCTTTATGAACTTGAGAAAAATAATGTGTAAAGACTGAACAAAGATTGTTCAATTTATGGAGGGCGAGTTCCAAGGGTTAGAGAACTTGAAATTCAAATTTATTCTTTAAAAAATAATCATCTACTGATTCTCAGGTAGTTCCCAAAATTTCAGATTGAAAAGATTTTGTCTTGTGCTCGAGGGAGTAGGTATACAATATGCTCCCATGGGAGTGCAGTACACACACTCATGTTTGAACTCAGACAAAAAGGAGAGAAAATGAGTGCCATTTTCGGTGAACGCAAGCCACCATTTCATGGATGGTGTTTCTAAGCCTTCAATATCTCAAAATCGATATTTCTTTTTTTAATCAAAGATGTGTGCATAATTTCAATCCTAACCATTTGTTTTAGCGGTGTAGCCAATGGGCTTGTGCTTTTGCATATGCCCATTGGCTTATATAATATTTTTCTTTACACACACACACACACACACACACACACACACACACACACACACACACACACACACACATATATATATATATATATAGTAGATATACTAAC